GCTTTGAACTTGCAAGGATCCTCCTGCCTCAGCGTCAGGAGTGCTGGGATTACAGGAGTATGCCATCAAACTTGGTTTAAATTCTTTTTTTTTTTTTTTTTTTTGGTTTTTCTCCGGTACCGGGAACCAAACTCACGACCTTGAGCTTGCCAGGCAGGCGCTTTTAGCCGCTGAGCTAAATCCCCAGCCCCTAAATTCTTTTATTTATTTATTTATCTTTTTGAGACAGGGTTTTGCTGTGCAGTTCAGGCTGGCCTTGAGCTCACTTTGTTTTTTGTGGGTTTTTTTGTGGTACTGGGAACTGAACTCATGACCTTGCGCTTGCCAGGCAGGTGCTGTGCTGCTGAGCTAAATCCCCAGCCCCTGAGCTCACTTTGTAACCCAGGCTGGTCTCAAACTAAAAACTGCCCTCCTGCCTCAGCCTCCCAAGCGCTGGGATTACAGCAGCCTGTACCACCATGCCTGGCCTAAAATATCATTTGGCAGGGCGTGGTGGCGCACGCCTGTAATTCCAGCACTCAGGAGGCTAAGGCTGAGGCAGGAGGATCACTGTGAGTTCCAAGTTCGCCTGGGCTACAAAGTGAGTTCAAGGCCAGACTGAACTGCATGGTGAAACCGTTTCTCAAAAAGGCAAAAATAAATAAATATAAATAATTTTAAAGCAAACAGGGGCTGGGGATTTAGCTCAGCGGCAAAGCGTCTGCCTGGCAAGTGCAAGGTCGTGAGTTTGGTTCCCAGTATCGGAGAAAACCCCCCCAAAAAAAACATAATAATAATTTTAAAGCAAACATAGTGGCCTGGCATAGTGGTGGACACCTGTAACCTCAACAATCAAGATACTGAGGTAGGAGGATCTGAGTTTGGGGCCAGCCTGGGCTACATAGATGCTTTTTCAAAAACCAAAGAAATCAGCAAAGGGCAGAGCCCTTTTCATTTAAGGGTTTTACTAGCAATCGCTACAGGGCAACAACTAAGTATGCTTGGGGGGATTTTTTAAAGGTTTTTTTGTTTTTGTTTTTGTTTATTTTTGAGAAGGTCTATGGTAGTTCAGGCTGGCCTTGAACTCACTATGTGCCCCAGGCTGGCCCTGAACTTCTGGTGGTTTTCTTGCTTCAGCCTTGTGACTACAAGTGGGTCCCCATACCCGGCAGGAAAGGCCTTTGCATGTGCTTTGACCTTCATGGGACTGAAATTTGAAACACTCCAGAACTTTACTCTCATGAGTGATCAAATTTTAAAAAGCGATCAGATCGTCCTTCTGGACATTGCCCTTCGGTGCCCCACCAAAGTTTACTGCGTAACTATTGTTACTTCAGGAAAGTCTGCACTCCACCCTAGCAGGCCACAGAAAATAGATAATCCCTCGAGTCTGGCCGCCCAGTTGGCCTGACTGCCCAAGGAGCTCCCGCTCCCCGGCACCCTTCTATGGTTTTCCACGTCCACTCAGCCCCTCCCGGTTCTAGCAGAGGAGGACGATTGCACCGGCAGGGCCGGTCGCGCCTGCCGATCCAGGGATCGCAGGCTGCACGCCCAGCTTCCCCGCCCTAGGTGAGCGTGCCTACCCGCCTGGACTCCACCCGGCTCCACCCCGCCCGCCACCTGCAATCCTAGTCCTCGCGCAGCCCGCGCTCCTCCCCCCGCTCCCCCGTTACGCCTCTGGCTCAGCGTTCCTTTGGACGTGATCCTTCCCGGAGAGACCACGCTTTCGCTACTGCTCTCCAACGGCTCCGCCTTCCCGCCGGAGCCTGACCCTTCCCAGCGTGCCCGGCGATTCCGGCGTGCGAGGCCCTAGGAGGGCAAGGCCCCGGGGCCTGGAGAGGGGCGCGAGGGGCAGGCTAGGAGTTGTAGTTCCTGAGCGTACAAAGGCGTTTGAAAGCGGGCCGTGAGCAGGACTCGTTCTCCCAGCGTGCTCTGCGCCTCAGCCCGCGCGCTCGCAGCTTCTCGCTCTTGCCACCCGCCTGCCCGCCCGCTCCCTTGCTTGCTGGAGCTTTCGCTCGCGCTCTCCTCGCGGATCGAGGGGCCTCTGGGCACAGTGTGCGGCTGGGAAGGGAAACGGAGTCGGCGGCTCAGGGAAAACGAAGCTGCGGCGGTGTTGGTGGGAAGATGTCGGGCGAGGACGAGCAGCAGGAGCAAACTATCGCCGAAGACCTGGTCGTGACCAAGTATAAGATGGGGGGCGACATCGCCAACCGTGAGTGCGGCCTCGGGGGTCCGGGAATCGAGGCTGAGAGGGAGAGGTGCCGGGCTGCCCTCGGAGGGGCTGGAGCGGCGGGGTCTTGCGGAGCGAGCTCCCGAGGGGCGCGCACCGCTCCGCCGGGTCGGCGTGTGGGAAGCCCGGGTGTCTGTCGAGCCGGGGGCTGGGGTGCGGAGG